CTGGCAAAAAACAAGGACCCAGGAATTGAATGGAAAGTACCTGTTGAGATGTTTCAACAGATAGATTCTGCGCTGGAAGTGCTTACTCTGTTATGCCAAGAAATTGGGAGATAGCTACTTAGCCAACTGACTGGAAGAGACCCATATTTATGCCCATTCCAAAGAAAGGTGACTCCACAGAATGTAGAACCTATTGAATAATAACACACACAAGTAAAATTTTGCTGAAGATAATTCAGAAAACAGTTGCAATACTATATTGACAGGGAACTTGAGCAGTTCTAATTTTAATTTAATTTACAAATTCAGGCTGACTTCAGAAAGGGACAAGGAACAATGGATGTTATTGCTGAGTCAGATGGATCTTGGCTGGAAGCAAAGAACGCCAGAAAGATGTTTACCTGTGTTTTATTGACTATGCAAAGGCATTCGATTGTGTGGATTATAACAAATTATGGATCACATTGCAAAGAATGGGTATTCAGAGCACTTAATTATGCTTGTAAGGAATGTGTACATAGACAAGAGGCTGTCATTCATACAGAACAAGGAGATTCTACATGATTTAAAATCAGGAAGGGTGTACGTCAGGGTTGTATCCTTTCACCATACTTATTCCATCTATATACTGAGTAAATAATCTGAGAAGCTGGACTATATGAAGAAGAATGGGGCATCAGGATTGAAGGAGGACTCATTAACAGCCTGCAGTGTGCAGATGACAGGACCTTGCTTGCTGAAAGTGAAGATGACTTGAAGCATTTACTGATGAAGATCAGACTATAGTCTTATAGGCACTGCATGTTACTGTACTGTAGTCTATTCATATAAAAGGTACTTCATATTACAGGTGTATGTATGGGTTATACCTCAACCTAAGGGAGATGAAAATCCTCACAACTGGACCAATAATCATCATGATAAATGGAGAAAAGATTGAAGTTGTCAGGGATTTTATTTTCCTTGTATCCACATTCAACACCCATGGAAGCAGAAGTCAAGAAATCAGACATAATATTGCACTGGGCAAATCTCCTTCAAGGGACCTTTTTAAAGTGTTAAAGAACAAAGAGATCACTTTGAAGACTAAGATGTGCCTAACTCAAGCCATGGTATTTTCAGTCACCTCTTATATATCTGAAACCTCGACAATGAATAAGGTAGACCGAAGAAGAGTTGATGCCTTTGAATTGTGGTGTTGGTGAAGAATACTGAAAATACCATGGACTACCAGAAGAATGAACAAATCTGTCTTGGAGGAAATACAGCCGAAATGCTCCTTGGAATCGAGAATGGCCAGACTTCATCTCACATATTTTGGTCATATTATCAGAAGGAACTGTTCCCCAGAGAAACATAATTTCCTTGGTAGAGTGGAGGGTCAGCGGAAAAGGGGAAGACCCTTGTTTCGGTTGCCGAGTGCCACTCTGAGAGGAATATACCACAAATGGAATGGCCTTAACAAACAGGAGTTTATTCTCTCACAGTTTGGAGGCTTTAAATCCGAGTTCAAAGTGCCAGGCTCTAGAGGCTGGGTGAAAGCCCCTCAACCTTGGCCTTCAGCTCTGCTTTCTGCTCCCACCCCACTGGAGCTAGAGGCTCTTCTTCATTCAGTTAGCTGCTGGCTGAGACTGACAAGTCCAAGGTTGACAAGTAATAAGGCATAGTACTGATATTACCAAACCACATGGTAGGCCATTAATTCAAGTCCATTAAAAGTCCCAAGATTGGCAGAGCATGGCAGGCTGCTGAATAGCGACTGGGCTACGTGCAGGGTTCAAGTGTGCCATAAACTAGAGACCATTCCCAAAGCTGTTACTTATATATAGGAAGCAGACCACATACCCAGAGCAGCTACTCAGCTGCTCCAATAGATTCCACCATGGAGTTAATTACCAATCTCACCATGGGGAATAACTACTTCAGCTGCCCAGCCACTCATCCAGGCCCAGCCACATTGACACACAAACAACTACCACAACCCTCAACGAGATGGACTGACACAGTGGCTGCACCGATGGGCTCAAGCATAGCAGGGACTGTGAGGATGGTGCAGGCCCAGGCAGTGTTTCGTTCTGTGGTGCACAGGGTGGGTATGAGTCAGGGCCAACTCCATGGCACCTAACAAGAAGAAGACTCAGAAGTTTAAACAAAATGTTGTATGTTGATGGGTCATTTAATAAACAAAATCCTTTGTAAACAGTTTACCAAATCCAGCTTGTAAATATTTTTATTGTTCTTTATACTTGCTCTACCAGTATTATAGCAAATTAAACCTACTGTAATTCAACCAAAGCATGCCCTGCTTTGGGACATATTTTAATTTTATTAAAATACAGTAATTTTTCTTGTTGTGTTGTTGTTTGGTTTTACATGGATGGCTATGCTTATGCTTTATTTCATTACTATCAATATCTAAATTTGCTTTGAAAATAGTGAATCTAACACTTAATGTCATGAATTATACTAAGTTTTTGTTGATATCTTTAGATTTGAAATTCATATAAAAGTTACTGAGTATGACATTCATTTAAAAGGTACTGAATGTTACATTGCAGGAACATTTCCTTAATTATTATGCATTTCTTGAGACTTTGAAAAGACATCTGTACTCATTAACCAAGAAGAACTCTGCAAAACTTACGATAATCAACAAATCATTTGACTAAGAGAGGAAGGAATAGTTGAAGAGAAAGTCACTTAGCATGGTTGAAATTAGCATTCTAAGGTAAAATATTTTGCAGCTTTAAATTAGTGTTTGGACATCAGTTTTAGCATCACTTGCACAATTCAAGGAATGATGCTCTTTTAGGAAGACTTTCTGTTCTTTTCTGACCTACAAGGTAAGAACTTGCTGGTTGATTTATGGAAGATAATTAATTAAAGGCCCTTATGGGGCACCTGATTAGAATTCATGCAATTGGACAGTCTCTACAATTCTGAAAGATATTTTCAGCCTGTGATAGAAGGGTACTAGTAGCTGCTATGAATTATTGTCGTTCACAAATACATAATTCATATGACTGTACATTTTTTTGTCTTAATTTTTTTTAAAACAGAAGTTATACATATAAAGGTTAAAAAAAATCAATGAGTTTACAGTGTTTTGTACAAAACAGATTTCTGCGCCCACTTCCCTTTTCCCCTCCCAGAGAGAACTACGTTCTCTGCCTTTTGGTAATTATTATAAAATTAAGTCCAAAAGATTTTTTTTTTGTGTATGTGTATGTGTGTGTGTGTTATAAAATGGAATTGGAACTTTATACACACAGCTGCACAAAGCAGTAATAAAGAAGGAAAAATAAGTATAGGACAATAAAGGAAATCTTTCTTAGCTGAGCAACAAATGTTTAGATTTTGGTTTTTCATCA